ATTCTAAAAGCCGTAGACAATATAATAAAATTATGAAGAAAAAAACGGCAGGATAATTATTGACCTGATCAATGCTAGGCGAGGCGATAAAATCGCACACTGGCAGTGCTAGATATCGGAGTCCACGAGCCTCTGCTGCTTCACGATTCAAAACGAAAGGCTTAACCTCGAACGTCTCGACGAGACTTACTACATGACTGATGTTCTCCCGGCTGGCTATAGCATCCCAGCTGTGAATGAAAGGCAGACCGCCAACAATTAAATTCGGCTCAATACGCGAGTACCAGGGACGCAGACCAAGGTGATTGAGTACTAAACCATATGCCAAACTGGAGTAGAAGACGAACTCTTTGACCAAATGGGTAATCTGCAACAGTTAGTAATATAAAGACGTTCAATTAATTAAAAATCGCTTTTCCAAAGACTCGGAGGAAAATACGATTTGATATATACATATAATATATTCTATAAATTTGGCCTTAAGTTTCAAATCAGAAGGAAAATTGATACGAAAATCAATCAAGATACAGATAGGCAGCTAGATTATATCAACTTGGTTGTGGTGACTGACGATAAAAGATCAAGTTGCGAAAACAAGATCAAATAAACTCTACACAGCTGGATGAGAATAATAACAAACCAAAGACCACATTATCTTGGCATTTATATCAAACGTCTAAGAATTATATAAGCTTAACAAGGTCACGGATTCAATTGAAAGTGAATAAAAGCTAAGTGATCGCAATTTACTTTCAAACACAAATGATATGGACTTTCTTCGAGTATATTATTTTATGAATAGGTTATCCTACACCAATCACTCAAGATTAGGCAATATAAGCCTTCACGCAGGAATTGGAGTGGATATTCTACAAGATGAGAACATATTGGAACTAGTAAGAGGATTAGACAGCATATTTTGTCTAAGAGAACAATACTTTTGGAGACAAAACTGTAGCAATTTTAATCCACTATTAGTCTGACTACATATCTCACAGTTATCTCTACTCATGCAAATACTCGGCAGAGCAGAACTCATCGGCACTGTCCCGCGGAGACTAAGCAAACTTATATACGAAGAAAAGTTAGATTTCGAGGAATCTCTTGTTTCATAATTGTTGGGATTACTTCCATTTCGAGTAGAAGTGTTGGGTGAAG